AACAGGATACAGGTTATTATTCCACTAATAGAATACGGGTTATTATTCCACTAATAGTATACGGGTCATTATTCCACTGATAGTATACGGGTTATTATTCTACTAATAGGATACAGGTTATTATTCCACTAATAGTATACAGGTTATTATTCCACTAAGAGTATACGAGTCATTATTCCACTAATAGTATACAGGTTATTATTCCACTAATATGATACAGGTTATTATTCCACTAATATGATACGGGTCATTATTCCACTAATAGTATGGGGGTTATTATTCTAATAATAGTAAACAGGTTATTATTCTACTGATAGTATACAGGTCATTATTCTACTGATAGTATGCGGGTTATTATTCCACTATTATAAACCTTTAACGGTAAATCTCTTTGATCTTTGAAGAGAGAGAGAGAGAGAGGAGGGAGGGGAGGGGGTAAGTCAGAGTGGTTGAAGGGTTGTCTCGATGTATGTTTCGGTCGTACTCTTATAGGGGTGTGTTCATTGTGTGTTGAACTCTATTTCTATCTCTTGTCTCTTTCATAATATTAAAAGAAATTGAAAAAAATTAAGTAACAGGTGAAAATTCAACACAAGATAACTCGTCAGATAACTATTATCTATAATAATATATCTCTTTTATGAAAAATGTTGAAAAATTGTTACAGGGCCAAGTCTGTGGTAGAAAGGATACGTGTGGAATTAAGAATTTGAACTTAGGTCAAAAAAACAGAATCTGGTATTTGGTGGCTCAGAAATCTTAAATCTAAAATTAAAGGTACGAAAAGACCATCCTATGTTTCGTTCTATCTGTCTCGAAATTGATTTAATCTTTGGAAGTAAAACTTTTAACGTAGTAATTAAGAAAATATTTCATCTCACATAATCTATCAATATGGCAAATTTACACAAATAATCCATACACTGGCCTGTTTTGGGGATTCGAAGAATTTGAAGGGTAGGACTGAACCCTTGGCTATCCCTTTGAATTAGGCCCTGGATATTTAAGATTTTCATATAAATATTGAATTTGAAGCCCCCCACCCCATCCCCCGGTCACCATCTTCCAAACCAACACTTCAGTTCCTGTCGGGTGTTGTACACGAAACGGCGTATGTTTACTCTTTCCATACCATCTGACACCACTTCTCACATAAATACCACCCAGTCATTAATAAATTATTGACCCAGTTAGAAGTGTCGTGCACGAAACAGTGTATTTTTATGCTTTTCAGAACACTTAATACCATATTGGGGTTTAACGTCCCACTGTTCTGCTCCCACTGGGCTAATGAATACAGGCATACGCCATACAGTGTGCTATGAGGGAAATTTTGACCGGACAGCGACGCTACGTTCTAATTTTATATCGAATTCCATCTTCCAAGGGATCTTTTACGTGCGCGCCAATGTGTACACGGGGTCTCGGTTTTTCGTCCCACCCGAACATATAGACAGCTGTCCTTGCCAGGATCTCAGCCTTGCACCTCTGACAAGGGAAAACCATGTCGGAAAATCCCGATGAGCTTTCTTGGTCAATTCCAGATTAACAAACAAACAAGCGTCTTACCCACTTAGCCACCGTGGCTTCCTAGTCTATTAAAGTTCACATTGCCAACTATAGAAAATATATGACCTATAATATATATACATTTTTTTTTAAATTCCCGACTAAATGGCAAGTGTTATCGGATATTTTTTTGAAAAGGTAGGTATAACCTGCCCTGTACACTGCATTCGTTATTGAATATATGATAAATAATGCCAGGCATATTATCTTTACAGAACAAATATAATGGAGTACAACAATTCGCCAACGCAATACGTCGGTCATTTTGAAACTAACATATGTTAATTTGTAATTTATGGTTGCATGTGCAAGAGGTTATGTGCAGATTGTCCCCTGACAGCAGTATCTCCGTCTGTTCTTTGTCGATTTCCCTTGTGTAGACAGGTAGGTGGACGTCGGTGTTTCGTCTCAACACCTTCGTTTTCAGTCACAGAGGCGACACCAACCCCTAACAAATAAAAAAACCGGACATGAACTATCCCGAAAGTTCTTTCCGGCCATGGGGGTTGGATGGCCGAATGGTTAGCACGTGCGTGTTGTATCATGTATTCTGTCATTGAGTCAACTGGCGTGGTTTCGATTCCCGGGTTGTACGTGACAAGGAGTAGGGTCGCCTGTCCAACCACGTGGGCTTTTTCCGGGTCCTCCGGTTTCCTCCCACTGCTAAAGACCCCTACGCGCAAGCGAATTATTGAATTAAAATTGTACCATAACTTAGTCCCAAAATGACCTGGTTTGTGTCGAGTGGACGTTAAACGCCATCTCTCTCTCTCCTCTCTCTCTCTCCGACCATCTTTAAAGAACCTAAGTGTGTGTATATATATATATATATTGTAGTTGTGCCAGATAGACCAGGTATGATGATGATTAGAGAGACCGGGAGAAATAGGTATTAGATATTATCAACAACTTTTACACGTGTAAGGTGAGCAGCGTGGGAAACAAAACTTATACAAATCTCAAGCTGCTGCAATTGCTATACATGCAACACTGTAAAAATATAATGGTTACAAAAATAAACACCAAAATAAACACAAGTTAGTCAACCAATCGGTAGTGAGAACACATTAAACTCGTCAACCAATCAGTAGTTAGAACACATTAAACTCGTCAACCAATCAGTGGTTAGAACACTAATCTCGTCAACCAATCGGTAGTTGGAAAACTTAATTCATCCATGAATCAGTAGTAAGAACGCCAAATTCTTTAAACAATCAGTAGTTAAACAAAATTAAGGGCTCTAGAATTGGCTCTGAGGCTGATAACTGTAACAAAGATTCAAATCTGGATACAAGCACTAAAATTTAAATAGGTGTCCACTAATTAAGAGTCGTTTAATAAAAAAAAACCACAACAGCCACTTGAATTTGTCGTAATTTCATGTCAATGTGATATTCGTTGCCCGGACTTAGAACATTTTGAAAACAACACCCATCTTGAATTGTCAACATGGTTAATGAGCTTTTTCAAAAGAGTAGTCCCCAAGGAGTATTGTGCCAGTTGCCATACTTGTATCCACAGTTGAACGATTCCTTTAATATTATACAGTTATACGTGCTACACTCAGTCTGATTAAAACACAGATCATATTTCGTTTTGTTTTTATAGTTCAAAATTTAGTTTTACTTGTCTTTACTACACTAGGATCTGGAAGAGTTGTTATCATTGACATGTTCTGAATGATGTGAGCTATTAGCCCATGAAACGGTCTGTTACGGCGAGCTTTAGGCGTGTTTTGCACGGAACTGTGGGTAATCCACTTGTCAGATCTTTATGTTGTGTAGGCCATCTAAAGTATAAAAAAAAAACGAAACGAAATATAGATCTGTATTTAAATCCGATTGTGCAACAAGAGTGTGGTAAATAGATTACACCGTTTTTACAGTGTTACTAACTGGCACCCATTCCACGGTCTGGTGCCAAGTAAAATAGCGTAAAACATTCGTTTGGTGCCTGCCTTTAATAACTCGAACTGTTGGTTTTAACGTAAATTAATGATGATGGAAAAGCCATGGTATATCACAAAGTACGGAATGTCTTTATAAAAATTTATCTTAATGAACTAAAAACAGAATTAATAAAATGAGAATTTCTTAAAGAGAGTATAAAATTAGTTTTGGGGCTAGAATAAAGACCTAATCAAATTACTTCTATCATGAAAAGATTTTTAATATCAACATTACACGAGGTTATTAATATTTTTCATAAGTAGTGTTTTATCTATGAAAGGTCGATTAATTTAGTGTAGAAATCAGGGTGGCTGTAACTATATGTACATGTTGTAAGAAGATAGTAAAGATATATACGTATTTTGTCTGAACTGTGGATAGTAAATAGAAGCATTTCAGGGGCGGATCCAGAGGGGGGTTTGGGGGGTCGACCCCCCCCCCCCCCTGCTCAGCTACATAAATTTGTTTGTAAATCAGTACTTTTTATGAGAAAAGTTTCTCGGCCGTGTGCTTTATCCTTTATCGCCAGATGTGGGACAGCATGGGCACTCAAAGCACGAGATAATGATATAGACATTATGTGATATCACAATTATGCTTTGCATCCATAAAATGGAATGACAAAGTCATTGTATTAATTCATAATAAAAATTGGCATCAAACGAGGTGTTGAATTTCTCTGTTTAAAAAGCTCAATGTGTATGTATACACGCCAAAAAGACCATAGAGACCATGCGGAAGGAGGGGGGGGATACATTGTCTCAGAAACCTAGCAAACCCCCTCCTGCAAAAATTCCTGGATCCGCCCCTGCATTAATATTGAATATATTATCTTTTAGACTAAATCTTAAAATGGTCTAACGCCTGCGTTTTGGATTATAAGGTCTTTTATTGAGTCGGGTGATATGGTTTCCACCCTACACTTGCATGTGACAAGAGGACGCGGGGTCCTACAAAACCATGTTGGTTTTCTCCAGGTCCATCTACTGCTGCAGACCCCTACGGGTGAGCGAATTCTTCTAGTGTATAAGGCGCTGGCTCGCTAACCAGAATGTCTCGAGTTAGCTCCCGGTGTTGGGAGTTTTCGGAGTAGTTGTCCCTTGTCAATGATGTAGAAGAGCGGGTCTGGCAACTAACAGCGTCTTAGTCGTTCGGATGAGACGAAAAACCCTGGTCTCTTGTAAAATAACACTGCAAATTCCGAAATTCTAGTTGATAATATCGCCCGTATTGTACTACCCCCCCCCCTCCCCATTGATATTACCTGTTTTGTACTAATCCCCATTGATATCATCTGTGTTATACTAACCCCCATTGATATCATCTGTGTTGTACTAACCCCCAATGATATCATCTGTGTTGTACTAACCCTCATTGATATCATCTGTGTTGTACTAACCCCCACTGATATCGTATATGTTGTACTAACCCTCGAAATTCACATTTGAGGTTTGACATGATCAAATATATAACAATATGATGTGTACTTATAAAAGAAATATTTTATTAGTGATATTTTACATTATCTACACATCACAACAATAGAAATAGTATGAGATCTACACAATTAATCTCCATAGTATAAAATACAAGTCTCTGTCCATCACTGTTTATTAAGGTCCATTGGCCTGGAAATAAAGTTGTGCCTGTCCATTTTAAATCTGCCCAAGATACGACTAAAAATATTCCCAAAAAAGAAACCAAATAAAAAAAAAACAGAAAAGAAGACAGTCAATGTCTGATCAATTGGCCGACACTAAAGGAATTGTGCCTAGCGTGTTTCTGACATTGTCTGTGAATGGTGGTTTATTTCCAGGCTAGGCAGGCTATTGTTAGATTTTTTTAATTGAAAATGTTAAATGATTTATTTAATGATTAATTTCGACTCATTATGTACAATTGAGTAGTAATTTTAATTTTTTGGGATTGTTTAAAAAGTCGTATCAAGATAAAATGATGAAGATATATTTTTATTTGTAATCTTCTGTAAATTAAGAAATTGGGAAGACAAAATAAAAAAACAACAGTATTTTAACATTAGAAGCATATAAGGAAGACATGTTTTATTGTAATATAGACATTTGGTATTGCAAAAAGAATTAATTTTACTAGTAATTTCATAGGTAACATTATTTCTTTAGTATCTAGATCCCGGTTTTAATACTAAAACTTCATAAAAAAAAATCATTTATTTAACTAGACTAAATATTCAGAACTTTACAGAAATTTTAACACTTGATATACAGACAACAAAACAAAATAACTTCTATACACACTCACAGCTCAGATAAGATTGCACTTAGTGCTTCAAACAGGATGAAAATTTCTTATCTATTTATGACTAATTAGAGCCCTGAACCTTGGTCACTCTCATGTCAGAATTCTCATAAATGTCTTGACATTTTTTTATTCTTATAATTTTTAATCTTATAAATAGTTTAGTTAATGTGGTTTGATATTTCTGTGGTTCTAAAAACTTCCAGAATAGAATTCTTAAATAATACCTGAATGCCAAGCTTATTGCTTATTGTTAGAAATAAACCTATGTATTATTATTATGATATATATGTATATGCATCATATTATTAGTATTCATATAAAATTACATAAAAATCTAATCTTTAAGTTACAATATTTTACATTGAAATATTGAATGAAAATGGAAAAAAAATTTCTTCTAATAACAACAGGCCTTAATGATCAACTCATTCTTTAGGCTACGAAAAAAAAATTTAAGTAAAAATTTCTTTCAATTCAGATTAAATAAATATACATCAAATTAATCCATGAATTTTAAATAATCTTAACCTAAATATTCATAAACTAAAAACAGATTTGAATCCTAAACAATTAAGGAATTTAAAACACTGAAATAATTAATGAAATAGAGGGTTGAGTTGACCATTCAGTCGAGAGTCCATTAAAAGAACTTCAAACTTTTACATATAAAAATATTATGATAAATATGAAGATGTTTGGATTTTAATGAAGGCAAAAACATAAAACAATAACATTTTGATCAATGTCATGGACTCATGGACATTTGTAAACCTAAAAAAAAGCGTAAAAAAAACCATACACACTTAAACATTGATGTTCCATAGTTATATATTTCCAACTTTTTTTAAAAAATTAAGAATTTGATCAATTTTTATCTATTTCTGGACACAGTAAAACAACATCATTAAGTCCTTAAAAAAATAGAGATAAATTGAGATAACTTCTTAAATTTTAATATAAAAAGTTGTATGAAATTTTAATACACATAAGATATTATTTTACAAGCATTAATAAGAACTAACTATAGTAATATCATACATATATATACACTATATTCTATAGAGTGAAACTCACTTAATTTAATTCTGAATAACATGGATGCTTTGTATGTTTTAATAAAAAACAATAAAGGAACCTTACTACTTAGTAGGAACATAATCTAGTTGTTTGGATAGGTCATAAACCCTGTGGTTGGTATTCTAAATGAGAGTAGGGCAAGGCATTGCTGGCCCGGCAAAATTTCACACTGTTTGGCCTATGCCATCCTCATTAACCCAGATGGTGTTTGGCCCCCATCTTCATTAACCCAGATGGTGTTTGGCCCCTGTCTTCATTAACCCAGATAGTGTTTGGCCCCTGTCTCCATTAACCCGGGAGAAGCAGAGATGAAGGATGTTAAGCGCCATTTCATTTATTTATTTTTAGAAGGATGAATGGAAATAGGGGTTAACCTCGATGACACCGTTATTGTGGGATCAACTGGAATCGTATTGAGAGGGATACCACGTCCATTACATACATCAGCTCGAATAAATTATATTTTGATAAACAGAAAGAAATATTTATTAACAGATTATTAATTAAATGAATTCCACTGTATTTATAATTTAATAATCATAAAACTTCTGTATTCCCATTTTATATTGCAATTTTCTCTAATGGAGACTTTACAATGGGTTCATATGTCATGGTAATCCCCATGGTAATCGCCATGATAGTTTTGACAATATTTATGGTAGTCGTGGCAATCTCCATGGTAATCACTTAATATTTTTCAAATATCAAGACAGAAATTTTGGATTAAGACTCAGCTGTAAGATCCTTTCATAAGTTTCTTATTATCTAGGTACTGGACCTTGAACTATTGAGTTGGTACATCTATAAAATAAACAAACTTCGAAAGAATCTTTTTCTGGATCACGTCTTCATATAATTTTAAATTATGAACAGATCTTACAGCTAAAAATAATATGCTACGGAATTTAAATAAATAACTATAACATAAAATAATATATAATATCAAATCTTCTTAATGTTAACCCTTTGAGCCAATTATCTCAATTTTTCTGATTAATTCAGTTTTTTCTCTACCTTTAAACTAAGGCAATATTGTTGACTCACACTAGACTTGATTCACAAAAAACTAAATAATCCAGGTTTTACATTAGTCAACAGCTCAAATCTATACTAGGAGTGAGAAATGAATGCAACTTTAAAATATTTTAGCTTACGTTTTTTGTGAATCAAGGCCCCAGGAGTTACAAGTTCAAAGGGTTAAAATAAAATCTCAAACTTAATTGTTACTTCTACACCAACCAAATCTTACTATTTAAAAAAAACTCTAATATCTGAATCATATAATATATCTACATCTCATTCAACAGTTTGCATAGAAAAGTGATTACTTCGTATATAAAATAAGCAATTAGAATATATTATTACTATTTATAATATTGGGACATGTTTGTGCTCTACACAAATCACTCATTTCTGGTTATATTCAAATGGCACAGATGAGCAGCATATACAATTTGAACACTAAATTTCTTCTTTCTTAATTAGCACCTTGTAGGCCTAACTGAACACCAAGCACCATGTATTCCTATCTGTACACCAAGCACCTTGTAGGCCTGTAGGCCTATCGGAACACCATGCACCTTGTAGGCCTATCTCATTATGAACAGAAAGCACGTTGCAGGCCTACATTCTTCACATGAATAAAAGACCCATGATCACGAAATAATCTATTAGCTCATCTAAATTTTAGCTCAAGTATAAAAAAGCTTTTTGTTTACACAAAATCTATGTTTCGTGGTCTGGGTCCTGCTTATAAAAGTGATCTATTAGTTTATATCGCGTCTGTCAAGGCTGCAATAAAACACAAGCACCCAGGTATACACCCTCCGTTCCTTCACTGAAAGACCTCATATAGTTTTTAATAAAATACAATTTGTTTCACAACAAACTAAGAATTTGTTTTAGTAAAATGTTGTGTAATTTTCTACTCCTGATTTCGCACTTGATGTCATTCAGGCAAATCATACCTAAATCTTGTGGAATATCCTCTTCAAGAGAAACTGTCAAGTTACTTCCCTTTTTTGTTTGGACTTCACATTGCGACAACGAAACACATCCATAATAAATTCCAATTGTGCCACACTGAAGTTTGTTTAATAGTTCTGTTGACCATGACCTTGAGATATTACTGCTCCTGTTAAGATGCGTAAATAAATAAATAAGCATGTCATGGATTTCATTTTAAAGTAGTCCCGTCTTTAGGATTGTAATATGGAAGAGAAATAATATACAGAAAATTTAATGTATAAAACTATAATATTATGACTAAAATGTTTAAATTCAAAACAAATATAATATTATGCATATTATGATATCAACAGGCAAATAATAACCACAGCAATGCTACACAAAGGATTTGTAAAATTACTCACACAAAAGTTCAATTTTACAAATTTACGTACCTTTTGTGCAACTAGACCTATATATATATATATATATGGAATACAAACAAGAAAATGTATGTTTAGAAGAATAATTTGTATCAAAATATTTCAGTATATTCATTTTCATAAATAAGTTTATATATTATTTTTGACAGATTACAGACGGACAATTGTGATGTCAACAGTCGCCGATCTGCGGCAGTATATCAAAAAATATCGCCCATTCAAATAAACTTACAAATTCTTTAAAGAGAACCTCTAGAATTTAAAAAAAGGTTTCCTTAAATAATTCAAATAAACCAAAAACCATAAATATTAAATAACAGAAAAATTAATGTTTAAAAAGTTTTTAAAAAATAATATAATACCAAAATTTGCTTAAAATCATAAAAGTACAATATTGAGACTAGAATTAATTGAACAAATTGATAAATTCAAAATTCAGTTATTTTTCTCCCAAAATACCAACATAAGTTTGTTAAATAGAATCTATAAAATAAAAATCCACAACTTTTGTTAATCAAATTTTTATAAATTTATGTGACAAGAACAAAAATACCCAAAACCAAAAATCGATCAGGATTTTCCAAAACTTACTAAAATTTTTCAGGGGCAGGCTTTTCAGGGGCAGGCTTTTCAGGGGCAGGCGTTTTTGCTTTTTCTTTCCTTTCTAGAAACAAAATGAGCGAAGTTTCAAATACCAAAATTTCATGAACGCTAACAAAATTGGCCTACAAAATAAGATATTCCACATATCCAAATCCACGAAAGAAACATCTAATAATTTTAAACTAGTCAAAGAAAACATTCCAGTGTTCTTGCGTTAATTCCTGGATTCCCTTCTCTACAAAACTTGGGACAAAACACAGAATACAACATTTGAGATGACAGATTGAATGACAAGTGTGTTCTTTCGAGGAAAAGAAAGGGAAATAACTCATATTTTGAAGGAACACAATGAATGTTATGGATTTATAAACATAAGCCACAGATTCTGTGGAATGTTAGAGATTCTTACTTCTCTCCTGAGATTCTTTAAATGAATATTTATTTTAAAGGTAGCCTACAATTGTAATTAATATTTATTGTAAAGGTACAATTGTAGTTTCTACTCTGTTTAAAATGATGTGATATTACTGTTAAATCATGAAATCATACATCACAAATCAAGTTCTTACAGGGGTCATGTAATATAAACAAGTCTGCCTATTTTAACAAATCTCTTCAGTTGGAAACCTTTTATTGGATATTTCTTTCCAAGCGGCAAAAACTTAATGGTTACTTTATACCTGATTTCAATAAATAAAACCTGAATTAAAATATGTCTGTTTTCTTAGGCTTAAATCACGACTACCTTTGACTAGAATATCCAGATGTTATAGTCTGTGGATTTCAATTTAAAAACCATAACTTAACATAAATAAATCATAAACATAACAGAGACATATGAACAAAAAAAAACTGTACAAAAAATCTTGATCTTTTTGTTTCTGTAACTGAGAAAATTTAAAGCTAACATGCAACTCAATATTTAAATAATTTACAACGACATATTCATCAGATGTCTTCGTTATTCGAACAGGTAACCACAGTTTTTAATTGGACGGTTTCAAATGTCACATGATTAGGAATTTGGTGGTTATGTTTTAAAGCACTGAATTTATTCCCACTGTTTATCATCAATATCATGTTTACCGTTAGCCATCATGTATCCTTCATCTTCTGGCTTTCGTCGTTTGAAGAATCCACACTGAAATGATAAAAAAATACAGTTTTAAAGAAACAATGCATAATTTGCATATTTCGGAAAATATCAAAATTTCTCACAATGTAATCTTATATATGTACTCAGCGATTATTATTTAACATTTAATTAAGAAAACAAAATCAAAATACCAATGCTAAAGAATCTACCGGCTTGGATTCAATCAAATTTAAAACAGGCCCATCAGTTTGGTTCACGGTAACTTAAAATGGCAGCTATCTTGTTATATTGGAGCAGCATAAATCTATGAAATTTTCAATTCATTATATATTTGTAAATACTGAAGGGAACTTGAACAATTTTTAGACTGTTTTCACTATTAGAGATTTTATAGTGTTAAAATCAGGCATCTCTTTTTAAAAGATCAAAAGCAACTGCATAAAAATGATGTTTGAGAGAGAGAGAGAGAGAGAGAGAGAGAGAGACAAGTGGAAGTAGAAGTTCCAACTGATATAGGCCTAATAATATCCATAAAGTGAAAGTAAAGTTACTTACCCACCACAGTAATATAATAATTAACAATAAGACTAATAAACCTGCTGATATCGATACAGCAATAATCCAGATTTCTATTGGTCTCTGTCTCGGTACTAAATTATCAGGATTTACTGCTGTACTAACCTGTAAATAATGCAAAAATTGTTTAAAATCAACATTTCCATTTAGGAAGAGCGACTTACTTCTGTACTCCGACCCTACACACAAAATAAGGAGAAGTGAGCGAGACATCGGAAGACTAGATGGAGAGATCAGGTTTCACAAATTACAAAGTGACCAGTCAATCTTGGTCAGCCATTTCACCATCTAAATTGAATTTTTTAATTTTATGTAATTATCATTTTATAACAAGATTATATTAATATTATCATCAAAATAAAATAATAGCCAATATAGCCTATCGCTGTACATGTACAGTGTATTTACATATAAAATAACAACCTATCGCTGTATTTACATATAAAATAACAGGCTATATCTGTATTTACATATAAAATAACAGCCTATATCTGTATTTACATATAAAATAACAGCCTATGTCTGTATTTACATATAAAATAACAGCCTATATCTGTATTTACATATAAAATGCATACTGGTAGTCGATGGACTTTATAATTTTGTTTTTATTAGGGTCCATGTCAGCTCTATCATTTTTACAAAAGGCTTATTATCATTAGACGGTTTTCACTCATTCAATCATCTTAAGAAATCTTTTTACCCCAATAATTATTGGACATCTGAGGAATTATGTCATTAAAAGAAAAACTTTAATTAGGAACTATAATTAACATCAGAAAACTACAAAATATAAAGAAGGAATTAAATCCTACCTCTCTGGTCGCTTCACTAAATAAACTTATATCTAAATTTTTGAGATCATATGGCACGGATGTGACTTGTGCTGTGGCTCTTGATGTCAACATTAAGGTCTCTGCTGAACCAGACTACAAAAACAAAACAACAATTAATTGAGAGAGAGAGAGAGAGAGAGAGAGAGAGAGAGAGAGTTCAACTTCACTGGACACAAACTATATTATAGTACTAATATATGATATAATTTCAGTAATTGCACATAGGGGAGACGAGATACCCCCCAGAAAACCCATGAGGTTAAGCCGACGACCATGTGACTTGACTCAATGAGAGACATTCTGATCTAAAGTGCATGTATTATATAGACCACTTAACCATTATGACCCTGGTATATAATTCAATTTTACTGTTTATTTCCCAGATGAGTATTTATGTCTACAGAGCAACATATTAATTTTCTATAATTGTGAAAGTAAACTTACACTGATTAATGAATCTGTATAAAGCTGTCCAGTTATTTTGATTAGAAAATTATCGTTAGATTCCATCTGTCCAACAATACATCGTATAATCAAACACCAACGATTCGTACATTTCTGAAATTGTGAAAAATTAGGGCATGGTTAGATGGTTTCCATTCAAAATTATTGATGATGAGGATGTTGCCATGGGGTTACGGTGAAGTTGAGAACATATCTATATCCATAGACGTAACGCAAACAGATTGTTATCCCACAAACCATAGCAACATATAAAATCCAACAAAATCAATAAATTCATTTTTAAATCAAAATTAAGAGATCTAGCAATTTTGAGAAACTTCAGGATTGCAAACAATATGAGATTTCCTGTAGGATCACCATGGTGATATAAACTATGAACATAGCTGTATGATCGTCATGGTGATATAAACTATGAACGTAGCTGTATGATCACCATGGTGATATAAACTATGAAAATAGCTGTATGATCATCATGGTGATATAAACTATGAACGTAGCTGTATGATCACCATGGTGATATAAACTATGAAAATAGCTGTAGGATCGTCATGGTGATATAAACTATGAACGTAGCTGTATCATCGCCATGGTGATATAAACTATGAACGTAGCTGTATCATCGTCATGCTGATATAAACTATAACTTACAACTTCTCTGGCGGCGTCTTCTCGTTTACTTCTGCTTCTTGATTCTTGTAAAATAACATCAACATCACGATTTTTGTTTAAATTATCATCGTATTGGAATGACTGAAATGTAGAATTGATATTTTTCATTATTTTACCCACAAATCAATAATATCTCTATTTGATCATGTTATATAACAGAATGAGGTTTATATCTCTACTAGACCATGTTATATAATTGAATGAGGTTTATATCTCTATTTGATCATGTTATATAACTGAATGAGGTTTATATCTCTACTAGACCATGTTATATAATCGAATGAGGTTTATATCTCTGTTTGACCATATTATATAACAGAATGAGGTTTATATCTCTGTTTGACCATGTTATATAATCGAATGAGGTTTATATCTCTATTTGATCATGTTATATAACTGAATGAGGTTTATATCTCTACTAGACCATGTTATATAATCGAATGAGGTTTATATCTCTATTTGATCATGTTATATAACTGAATGAGGTTTATATCTCTACTAGACCATGTTATATAATCGAATGAGGTTTATATCTCTGTTTGACCATATTATATAACCGAATGAGGTTTATATCTCTATTTGACCATGTTATATAATCGAATGGGGTTTATATCTCTAATGGGGGTTACGTTATACATGTGTAATGATATGGGGTTTAAAGCGTAGACTAACATGTCATCATTATTTCTATGCTAACATGTACACACAGCAGCGGATCTCTCTACTCATGTTTGAAATCCCAACTGTACTATCTATCTGAACAGGTAAGACCCAACTGTACTACCTATCTGAACAGGTAAGACCCAACTGTACTACCTATCTGAACAGGTAAGACCCAACTGTACTACCTATCTGAACAGGTAAGACCCAACTGTACTACCTATCTGAACAGGTAAGACCTTTTGCTATAGATGCTAACATATCTCCCAATTTTCTTTGTTTAAATCTTAAAACAGTAAAACTTACAGAATAATTAGAAGGCGATAAGAAGAAAGTAAAACAATTTCCCTCTCCTTTCTGTATTACTGGTTTTCGAGCTAATCGTAACAACAGCGTACCATCATCATTATGACTCGGCCAGTAAATATTTAATTCTGTTGTCTTTGTAGCACTAGGTCCTAGATTACGTAACTGAAATATATAAACAAATTGCAACTTATGACCTAATTTTGTAAATGTACATAATTATGTTCTCATTTTGTAATCTTTACAAAAACCAGGACTGACATATTTATTATCCTGTAGTTCCTGTCATATTTCTGATCATGAGGCTCAATCAGTGGGTCATCAGAATAGGCCTAGGCTAGAATATCAATGACCACAGTAAAAACAAGACCACAGTGACCAAAAGGGAATTTTCATTACGGTGTGCCACGTCACTAGGTTTATAACAAATAACCAATAAGCCGATGCCCTTTTTACCAGGTTTTATCTATCTTTAATGATACAGACTCCAGTATAAGGCCATACAAAAATCTCATTCTAAGACAATTCTTCCTAAAAAACCTAAAGTGGGACGGGGGTTCTTGTTTTTGTGTTTTTATTTTGTTGAAGTATCACGACTGGGCTAAATGACTTCTCAGTGATGAGTCTACTGTACATTTCTGAATTTATTCAAATTTTATTTCCTCAAACCCAGATGAAAGATTTACATGCAGTAATTAAAACACTGTTTTTATTTTTCTAGTGATTTGGAAGTATCTGAGAATCAGAATATTGTTTTTATATGGCCTAATATTTACAGTGTTCATCAATTACAATGTTCACTAATTACACTGTTCACTAATTACAATTTTTACCAATTACAGTGTTCACTAATTACAGTGTTCACCAATTACAATGTTCACCAATTACACTGTTTACCAATTAAAATGTTCACCAATTACAATGTTAACCAATTACAATGTTAACCAATTACAATGTTCACCAAGTAAAGTGTTCACCATTTACAGTGTTCACTAATTATACTGTTCACCAATTACACTGTTCACTAATTACAATGTTCACCAATTATACTGTTCAATTACAGTGTTCACCAATTACAGCGTTTATCAATTACAATGTTCACTAATTACACTGTTCAATTACAGTGTTCACCAATTACAGCCTTATCAATTACAATGTTCACCAATTACACTCTTCAATTACAATGTCCACCAACTACAGTGTTCACCAACTACAGTGTTCACTAATTACAGTGTTCAACAATTACAGTGTTCACCAATTACACTGTTCACCAATTAAATTGTTCACCAATTTAATTATATTATGTACTAAATGGCTAACAAAAAACCTTACCTCAAATAAATGTTCAATTGTTGGTCGTCTGTTTTCTCTGGCATATTTTTTGGCTTCGGTAGCGTTAAATATAATCAGTTCAGGTGTAGATTTTCTGAAAAATAATCAAATCACATAAATAAATAGATGTAATACATTATCTACTATACTATAGATGGTAATACAACCTGTACCCTATCGGCTGACTAGATTTGTTTTAAAAATTTAAGATTTTTGAAAGCATAAAAATGTATTTAGCTAATCAGTATTGAAATTCTTAATAATCATTCCCAATGTGGTATTTTTGTGTTCTAGTCTATTTTTGTTACATTATTATTACGTATATTATATTTTCCTGTCATTTATTAATAATAAATGGCCTATTCAATTTCATATCGCCTACTGTTATATTTGTCTACTAAGACACTCACTGGGGGCATACTTGTCTGTTGTCATGTCACGGTAAAAGAAACTTTGGGGAATTGTCTTAGTCACCTTAATGCATTCTTTTTTTGGAACAAGCATTTCTATTGATCTGATAAATTTAATTGTGGAAGGAAACCAGAGTAAATTAAGCCCTGCAAAACAAACTTACCCGTAAAGTTGAAGATCTGCAGACGCAGTCACAGGAATAGAAACACTGGCAAAATTATTGACAGTATCTGTAAAATTCTCTATATTAGAACTAGAAAATAAAAATCATGGAAATTAATGGTAGAAATTAATTAGTGATATATGTTGTGGTGGTTTGGTTGGGACAAAAAAACGAGGTCCCATGCACACATTGGCGTGCACGCAAAAAAACCCTTGGAGGTTGGAATTCAATATAAGAATAGGCAGTAGCGCTGCTGTTCGAGCAAAATTTCCCTCATAGCACACTGTATGGTGTATGCCCAGTAGGAGCAGAAAAGTAGAACGTTAAACCCAATTTCATTTCAGTTTTCTATTTAAGATCTAAAACATACAGTTCGGGATCAGATGTCTGCAGTGTTATGCACAAGACCTCAATGAGTTTATTAACAGATCGGTGGATGATGATGTTCCTATTGTCTGTGATACATGGATGATGTCATTCCTATTGTCTGTAATACATGGATGATGTCATTCCTATTGTCTGTAATACATGGATGATGTCATTCCTATTGTCTGTAATACATGGATGATGTCATTCCTATTGTCTGTAATACATGGATGATGTCATTCCTATTGTCTGTAATACATGGATGAAGTCATTCCTATTGTCTGTAATACATGGATGATGTCATTCCTATTGTCTGTAATACATGGATGAAGACGTTCCTATTGTCTGTAATACATGGACGAAGACGTTCCTATTGTCTGTAATACATGGATGATGTCATTCCTATTGTCTGTAATACATGGATGATGTCATTCCTATTGTCTGTAATACATGGATGAAGACGTTCCTATTGTCTGCGATCCATGGATGCCGATAAACCACCAAAAAGACCATGAGTATGTCCTTGCTTCCCTTAGAAAACTATCCAGACGATATTCTCCTATCATGCATGGCACGTGTAACCATAGAAAATAACTGAGGTATTGTTTTGATGAAACATTTAACCCTCATTCCATACCACCGCAAAAAAAAAATAAAATAAAAAAGATATTTTCTGCCAACCTGTTCACATTTAAAGCAAAGACAAGTTGATCCATTGATCCGTTCACTTCTTTTGGTGAAACTCGAAGGGTAAAATTTGTCTGCAAAACAAAAGCATTTGATATAACTTCAAAAGAAAACTAAGTTCTCAAGAAACACTTGATATCACATCAATAGAAAACTATGTTCTACATAAACGGTAAATGGAAAATACTATTTTTTACATGGCTCAGTGATTAAGGTGCTGGCTAAGTAAGCTAGCCATCCTGTGTTTGATTAGTGTGATTGACAATACTAATACTGTATCGTCAGTGAGAACTTCACAAATAAATCTATAAAATATCTTTTTACCTTGGCTCGACTCGGTAACGGATTACCAAGATCACAAATAACTAAAATTTCATCTTCAATCGTTTCAGATCCACAACTAACTGGTACAACCTACAATTATAATAAAAACATTGTAGTTTTTTTTAATATAAAAAATTAAAGAAGGGGTGGAATGTCAACACTTTCTTAAAAGAGTAGCAGAAGCTAGACAGGCCAGCAGATTTGTGTAGCTGGTGGATCAAACGGTAATACCAGTGGAGAGAGTAGCAGAGGTTGAACAGGCTGGTAGATCTGTATAGCTGGTGGATCAAACGGTAATACCAGTGGAGAGAGCAGCAGATTCTGGTAGATCTGTGTAGCTGGTGGATCAGATGATAATAAAGGCACATACAGTAGACAAGAAATTGGACAGGCCGGTAGATTCGTGTAGCTACTGGATCAGATGATGATGCAGGCACAGATAGTAGACAAGAAGAGATATTTTTTAAAAAAAACCTTAACAATAGTATTTGAAATGACAAATAAATCACCTCTCATCTCAAATTAATATCTGTTTTTTCTTAGTGTTTAGCAGGGATTTCTATAAATATAAACACTGTCTTAGACTCGTAACTATTCTTGTTGGTGGGTTGGGTGGATGAATGGTTTAATGTGTGTGGTTATAAGATTATACGATCTGTCATTGAGTAAAGTGACATAATTTCGACTCCCTGCTTCAACAAGTCGTTCTGTCCACCACATGGGTTTCCTCCCACTGCTAAAGAACCCTACGCGCAAGCAATTTATTGAAATAAAATTGAGCCATATGAGTCCCGAAATGACCTAGTTTGTGTCACATGGATGTTAAACACCATTTCTCTCTGTCTCTCTGTCTCTCTCTCTCTCCATTCCATTTCAATTAAAGACACTAGGTTTTAGTTCTCAACCTTAAACAAGCTATTAAAAGATTTTTTTCATTATTGATTTTGTATATCACATTTCTACAAACAACTTTATAGGAGTATAAAGAATAACTTACGGCTTGTATTCCGTGAATATTTCTATAAGACACACCATGAGGTAGAGTCACCCATAATTGAGAGTTGAAGGCGTTCTCGCCACGATTTTCTACCATAACCAATATTTCTAATTCGGAATCACTACCAATAATATGGGCAGCGGAAACTCTGTCAAATACAGCAGAAAAATAAATTATTTCATTTAATTGAAAAGTTTTTCTAGCCAGGTTAATATTTTAATTCTTAATCCTGCCCTTTTAACTACACTCACTAAATCTGACTGCTTCTATATAAAAAAAAAACACAACACAATTTATATGGAAAACAATCACTATTTTCGACATGTGTTTTCTTATCTTTATCAAGCACAAATGAATTGTGTTGAGTTTTTTTTATTGTGTTCAATCGCTGTATGCCACTCAAGGATTATATTAATTAATATGTGATATTGTATAGTGAACTTCTCATCTCTAGTCAGTTTAGTTCAAGTTTAGTTTTCATTGTATCAAGTTTAGATAAACTGAGTTAAAGAATCTCAACTTTACTTAATTCATTTACGCCGTCATTTTGTTTATTTATTTATTTGTAAAATTTTGATAATGAATTTATCTATATGTTCAGTCGTATGTATATGTTATAGAGATTCTGCCATTTAATAAAATTATTTCAGTTTGGGAGACTAAAGGGAGATAATTCATGTGAGAAATATTACCTGAATGAGTTGACAACTAGATCTGGTATACACACATTATCTTTACCACAGTGTTTTAATATCTGGGCCTAAAATATAAAAATATAACAATCTTTTAATATCTGGGCGTAAAATATAATAATCTTTTACCACCTAGAGAAGAACAAGGTCTTTTATTTCAACATTATTAAACCAATAAATATATTCAACAATGACCACAGGCATTTCAAACATTACATTGTAACGGAGGATAACGTCTTGGAGCAGATAACTCTCCTTACTTCCTACAACTTAATACTTAAACATGACCACGACCAGCACCTTTATGTATAATGTGTCGAATTACATACCGACAGGTGGCACGCTACACATGTTATTACCCCCAGTTTCTAGTGTCATGGTTAAGTTTGATTGCCCCAGTTGCTAGGATCCTGGTTAAGTCTGCATCCCCCAGTTTTTTAGGACCTGGTTAAGTCTGATAACCCCAGTTTCTAGTGTCATGGTTAAGTCTGATTACCCCAGTTGCTAGGGTCCTGGTTAAGTCTGCATCCCCTAGTTGCTAGGGTCCTGGTTAAGTCTGCATCCCCTAGTCGCTAGGATCCTGGTTATGTCTGCATCCCCCAGTTTTTTAGGACCTGGTTTAGTCTGATTACCCCAGTTTCTAAGGTTCTGGTTAAGCAGGAATACATCAGCTTCTAAGATCCTGGTTAAATATTTGAATTTCCTTCAAGACTAAATATCATACAAAAAATAAAATAATGAAAGTCTGTTGGATCACATACCTGATGTCTGACTTGCTGTGGTATATACTGATCTAGGATTGGAACCAGATCCCGTGTATCTTTCTTCGGTTGCTCGTTAAGTTTAAATTTAAAATCAACAGCGATTGGTGTCAACTTGTCTCTAGGTTCATTCTGTAATAAACATTTATTTGGGAAACATTCAGAGCAGTTCCATTTAAATTTACCAGGGAGGAAAGATTCCCAAATGATGCGGTGGCTGAGGTAGTTTAGTAAAACTAAAAGTGTGATTCCTACCCCATTCTCCCTCCAGTATTTTTAAATGGAATCGACCTGAGAATATAACATAAATTGCTGTAGGCCTATTGTCATCAATTTATAAATTCATATTTTAATTAATGGAAGAACTGTAAGCGTCTAGAATTATTTGAACAGGCCCAACAATTTGTCAATTTTAGAGAGAATCCATTTTAAGATTCAGTTAAAAACAATACAAGGAATGCGCAGGGCTGAAAACTGGGAATTATAGATTAGCTTCTCGGTGAGAAATATAGTACAGAATGTCAGAAACTTTTGTAAAAATCTTCAATCATGTTCCAAGATTTTCTAAAGTTCTTTGTATCTAGAAGGAAGACATGTGTATTTGTATTGACCTTGAAAGGTACTGACCTTGACATAAGCAAATGTAGGATCACACCATGTATCTTGTTTGGTAAGTTTAATTGTTTTATTTTGTCTAGTAATGAGCCCTGACAACAAGTAATAAGCTCTCTGTTCTTCCAAGGTTTTGTTCTGCTGTAGGGTATCTAAAGTCCACTCAATATCAAAATCTAAACAAACAGACAATCATTTTTAGTTATATAAATAAAAGTGCACATGGCAGGGTATGATGTCTAGAACACCTGATACCAATTCTCTGTTATTCTGTAAGTTCACGCAGCTATAACTTTACATTATATTAGTTTTATGCACAGGTAACATCTCCATTTTTTCTAACAATCATAACACAAAATAAACTTTACTAGCTACAGAAATAACCATTACCACCCATAGGTCAGGAGTGTACCTAGTCCTGCAGATGGTATGATAAATAGGTGATAAATATAAGTCTGCACCTGTACACATTTGTTTTTTAAAAGTGCAAGGATACCACAGGGTATAGATAACAGACCTTCTGATGTACAGCACCCCACCCCACCCAGCTCACCCAGCCATATACTTACATAATTCATTTGGAACTCCAATACCATTATATTCTAGACATGTATAGATGTTTAAACTGTAATAGATAAAATATACTCAATATAGACACAATATACTAAATATACACACAATATACTCAATATAGACACATACAGTATACTCAATATACACACAATATACTCAATATGGACACAATATACTCGACATAGACACATACAGTATACTCAATATAGACACAATATACTCAAAATAGACACAATATACTTAATATAGACACCACAATATACTCAAAATAGACACTAAATACTCAATCTAGACACAAAATACTCAATCTAGACACAAAATACTCAATATAGACACAATGTACTCAAAATAGACACTATATACTCAATAGACACTATATACTCAATAGACACTATATACTCAATAAAGACACAATATACTCAAAATAGACACTATATACTCAATATAGACACAAAATATTCAACATATGGTTCAATTTTATTTCAATAATTCGCTTGCACGTACAGGTCTTTAGCAGTGGGACAGGCGACCTTACTCCTTGTCACGTACAACCGAGGAATAGAAACCATGCCAGTTGACTCAATGACAGGCGTTTGATACACAAGACCTTGGTTTTTCATCCCTTCTGAATGACTAGACAGCTGTCCTTGTCAGGCCCTCCATCCTACCCCACTGACAAGGGGAAACCACGTCGGAAAATCCTGATGAACTTTCTCGGCCAATGCAGGGATCAAACATGCGACCTCCAGGTTAGCGAGCCAATGTCTTACCCACTTAGCCACCGTGGCTCCAATATGGTAAATATGGCTGCTTATTATTAACAGATATAGGAATGATTCTGATTGGATTAGGGGAAATAACCATTTAATATGTGCGATTGTCTGATATAACTCTTCCCAGCAGATGATCAACGGTTGATTAGTTTACAATGTAGAGTAAAAATAAAAAATAAAAATAAATGTTTCATTTGACGACTACCAAAAATTGGTAATGACTGTAAAACAATAAATCAATGCTGATGGATAATTACCAACAAATACACTTTGATGTGTTGACTATATCAATAATTACTTACCAGGCAACTCTTGTATCATCGACTAAACTACACGATCGCTTTTCTAGATTAATCATCTCTGGTTCAATCTTTAAACTAGCAACAACTCGTACAACGGGTCTCGTTCTTAAAAATATAGCTTTATCCGACGCATACGCTCCTACCAACAAATCTGAAATATAACATTAAAAATATAGCTTTATCATGAACAGCCTTGGAAAATTATTTGAATTTGAATATCAAATATTTGTTCAAGCACAACGTTACAACATTTAGTCCTATACTATCCAGTAATAATAGTTGTGTGATCACTATGTTAGAACATCCAGTAATATAGCGCGAAGAGCGGTGCTTGAGCAAAGCTCTTTTCCGGTAATACAGGAGCGTAACTAAAACTGTCACCCACAGACGGTTGATTAAAAAAAATTTAGACCAGAACCGGATACACTGGCCAAAACTGGCAATGTACATACCAACTTACCAAATCTCACCCAACTATTTCTATGACGCGTCTAATCAATGACATCACATATTTTTGACATCAATGAAAATAATTCTCACACTTTTTTTTTTACACAAAATTAATCATACAATTTAGATCTAAATTAAAATCAATTTGGAAAAACAAATTTATTTAACATTATTTGTATGACTTGAGAAACTTAATTATAAAGGTTTTATATTTGACAATAATCACATCAGCTTCGCTCTACTTAGGCAATGCCTGTTACATAATAATATTCATATAACACTATGTTAGATCATTTAGTCACATACTATCCAGTAATAATATTCATATGAACACTCTGTTAGTCACATACTATCCAGTAATAACATTCATATGAACACTCTGTTAGTCACATACTATCCAGTATTAACATTCATATGAATACTCTGTTAGTCACATACTATCCAGTAATAATATTCATATGAACACTCTGTTAGTCACATACTATCCAGTAATAACACTCATATGAATACTCTGTTAGTCACATACTATCCAGTAATAATATTCATATGAACACTCTGTTAGTCACGTACTATCAAGTAATAATATTTGTTAGATCATTTAGTCTCATACTATCCAGTAATAATTATAACGAATACATAGTCCATTTGTAGAGAGAGAGAGAAATGGGGTTTAACGTCCACTCGACACAAACTAAGTCATTTCGGGACTAACATATGGTTTAATTTTATTTCAATAATTCGCTTGCACATAGGGGTCTTTAGCAGTGGGAGGAAACCGGAGGACCCGGAGAAAACCTACGAGGTTGGACAGGCGACCCTAATCCTTGTCACATACAACCGGGGATTCGAAATCACGCCAGTCGACTCAATGACAGACTTTATGATGAAGCGCGCGCACGCTAACCATTCAGCCATCCAACCCCCCTCCATTTGTAGAAGGAACCATTAGAGATGATTATTTGTTGTTGAAGGAGATGAACTAACCTGGATATGAATTACCATCTTGATCCCAACCACCTGATAAAGAATGACCAAACGTAGATAACCCAGTTGTAATATCTTTCGCATGGACCACCTGAATAACCAAACAAAATATATCCTTAATTAAACTGAATAAGACTTAAATAAAAATCTCTATGCATATATTAACAATATTTGAAGGCCATACAATTGTTTTTCTAAATAGAGTTACTTCCCTTTCCAATAATTGCCGAATCCATTACCATAAATGAGTATTTCGGAGGAAATACCAACCCTAACTAAGAAGACTGAACTTGGATCCCATTTACCTTTTACCCCTCTTAAAAGGGTTAGGGTAAGGGTTAGAGTTAGTATTCCACAAAATACTCTCATTTATAAAGTGGCCATTGTGACTTAACTTGGGTCCTATTTACTGTCGTAAATTCCCGAACATCCCAAACCAGCCTACAATTAGCATCACCCCTAAATAATAAGACATTTGATTTTCTAATTTTTGTTTATAAATCAAAATCAGTTATTTGATATTAATTATATTGTACTAGAAACCTACCTGAGAAACTTGTGTAATAATTCCTTTTATAGAACCATGATAAATATAGATGGCACCTCGTCCCTCATCACCAGCATATGGAGCTCCAACACCCAGATCTACAAACAATATAAATCAACATTAAATCTGCCTACTTCAGGTCTTTCTTTAGGCCTGAAATGTTTTCTAAATTAGACATTTATTATCATGAATTTAAAAGACCTTAATCAACTCTCAATGCCATCTTATCTGTCAGATTTTCACTGGATTTGAATCCGATCTGATGCATCTTTGAATAAAATAATCAATAAAGTTTACAGCAAGTCTACCTCGATTGATATGAACATCAATCAAATCAAAATATCTAATTCCATGTCTACCTCCATTGTATGTCTGGAGTCATGATGGTTTGGTTAATATACCAGGAGGTCTGTGGTTCATTTCCGGTGTTGACCGAGAAACTTTCACAGACTTTCCCAGTGCGGTTTCCTCTTGTCAGTGTTGCATGGCGGAGGGCCATTCAAGGAAAATCTCTAGCTAGTTGTTCGGATTGGAGAGAAAAAAACAAGTACCAAGTACCCTTGACAGTTGGCCGATGTCGATGCAAAATTTCCCCCTTAGCACACAATGTGGCCTTTACCGGTCTTCATTTACCCAGTTAGTTGGACGAAAAAACCCATTTCATTTCCATGTTTACGTTCCATTGTAAGTCATAAAAGTTTTGAATTGTCAGAATTACAGTCATTGAGATATTTTCTTATCGTCACTATTTCCCTCTAAAATTGTTATTTTTGTGTAATTGAGAGGATTTAAACAAAGGAATCAGACAAGTATACCAGCAGGAGTCAAATAAACCAGAAGTTTTTAGTTTGTAATTAATTAGAGTTACTTACCTTTGTATCCATCATAGTTAATATCACCCAATTTAGATAAAGCCGAACCAAATCGTGATTTACTGTCAGATCCTTCTAAAATATCTTTCCTATTTTCTTTGAACTTTTTCTGAAAATAAAGAAATTGAACTAAAGTTAAATCATTGATCGACTTTGAAAGACAAGAAATTAAACATGTTATTATCTCCCTTTGTTGTGTCTCGGGACTTGGAAGGAATGAATGAATGAAATGGGGTTAACGTCCTACTGTTCTGCTCCGACCAGGCTAATGAAGACGGGCATACGCCATACGGTGTGCTAGGTGGGAAGCTGTGTCTGAACAGCAATTGAATTGCAACTGTCAAGGGTTCTTCTTCTTCGTCTCAACAGAATGATTATGTGCTGTCATCAATGTCAGGACTTCTGTCTACATCACTAACAAGTGGGAACCACACTAACAAGGGGGGGGAACCATATTGGACAATCCAGAGCAACTTTCAAGGACAACACCTGGATGAAGCCCAGGACCTCCAGGTTAGCAAGTCACTGAGCTCCTCCTCCTCTTGACGTACAGATTAACAGTCACACAATTCTATTTAATTCCAATAAACAGCGTAATGTGTTGTTAATATTGAGGTCAATTATGGTACTTGATCTACAGGATTTTAATAAATATCGTAAACAATAAAGTCTACGAGATTCTCAAGAAGAAGATTACCAGTGGTGGAAATAATGTTTTATTAAGTAGTTTTCAATAACTTGCTTCTACGTTCTCATCTTTTGCAGATTAAACAAACCACAAGAACCAGGTTAGATAGGCGATCCTACTCCTTGTCATGTACAAGAACCAGGTTAGACAGGCGATCCTACTCCTTGTCACGTACAAGAACCAGGTCAGGCAGGCGATCCCACTCCTTGTCACGTACAAGAACCAGGTCAGGCAGGCGATCCCACTCCTTGTCACGTACAAGAACCAGGTCAGGCAGGCGATCCCACTCCTTGTCACGTACAAGCCAGAGATTGAAACCCCGACACTTGACTCAATGACAGACCTTGTGATCTAGAGCACATACATTGTACAGACAACTTGCCTATATTTGTGTGCAATGCGATGGAGGAGAATTTTGCCAGACAGCTGCAGATTTGCAACTTGCTGTCAAAGATTCTTTCATATCAACGATAATGCTTGTTTTGGAGTAATAAAGATAGAAGCTTTAGTACTGCTTCACCAATCTGTGGAAAGATTTACCCCCAAAATATTTGAGACAGCAAAACTCTTAGAGTCTTAGGCTACACAAAATAAATGTCTTGTTTCTCGGGCAACTGACAGCTGAAACTGTAGGGGGGGAGGGCGGTTTATTTTTTTTTTTATCTCATTTCTGGCTAGAGGATGGTGCAAAATAAAATTTGCCTATTGTTGAAAATTGTTGGGGCGGGAGGGCGGCCTTGTATTTTTTTTTTTTTTTTAATGAGAAAGTCATTACTTGTCTACGGTTTTGCTTTCAGTTATATATTATACATACTTAGAACATAAATCCAAAAATCAAGTCTACTCAAACACTGAACACTGACTGAAAGGAAAATAATTTTCCATATTTAATTCACGTAATGTAGCTTACTAATGGTAATGGTGACAACCATAATTGAAATTGGTTTAAAATAAAATTCCGTACGACTATTAATAGCCGTCCATAATAACGACAATATTTTAAAGAGTAAGCCTCTGTCAGCATGTGTATCAAAAATAATCATCACGGTAAACGACACTTCGATCTAAATCTAGTATCGCTGGTTTATAATGATTGACCTAATTCCAACCAATGCATGTCACGTGTCATCGGGATTCGTGAAATGACTGTTTCTCAGGATATTTGGTGTGTTTCTCAGCATATTCGGTGTTCTATCTGGGGTTTATATCGAATGACTATTTAAATTTAACTAACAACTCGTCAGTAAAACCATCAAATGTGTAATCCAATTATTATTTTCCGGATTATCAAAACTACCGTTAAACGTGCTAATGACCCAGATTCTGACTAAGGTATGGTGACTATCATCGTATCGTATTCGTAGCCACAAGTTATAATAATTAACCTGCTCTACGATTCATTGTTTTATAAGTAGGATTTTTTCAAACATGGACCGACTGAAGCCGGCAATAATGAGCCGATTAAGATCGAATGATTGAAATACATTGCATTGTTGTCAATGACTTTCGGTGTTTAACACGAATCAAATTCTAGTTCACAAGGGGAGGTAATTAAAATCACGTGATACAAAAATGGAGGTTCTTTCGATATCAATAAAAAAGACCCGTAAATGAGCGTTTACATCTGAATCAGTTTAATACATTTGAATGGATATTCACGAATGGGGCATGTAGATACATGCGGCATATTTTTTTTATGACTTGCTTATCGATGTTCGGGCGGGCGTTACATATTTTTTATTTTTCATCAAGACTAATAAATAGGCCGCACGCGCAACCAATTTTGCGTGCGGGCGGTGCCCGAGAAACAACTTATTTTATTTGTGTTGCCTTATGTAGAGTAAATTGAATAGATATGTATATAGTTTTATAGCTTTGAAAGGGCTTTTAGATTACAGTTGGATTTGGTACTCAAGAAATAGACATTATTATCATCTATGATTATTTACATTGGTAGTTTGTTGATAGTAGATATAAACACGTCCTGTGTCGTAAACAGTGGATGATGAATAATCACTGTAAAATGGAGCTCCAACTATTACATCATCTAATCTAAAAATATAAACAAATACACAATATTATACACAGGTCCAACTATTACATCATATAATACAAACAAATACACAATATTATACACAGGTCTAACTATTACATCATATAATACAAACAAATACACAATATTATACACAGGTCCAACTATTACATCATATAATACAAACAAATACACAATATTATACACAGGTCCAACTATTACATCATATAATACAAACAAATACACAATATTATACACAGGTCCAATTATTACATCATGTAATACAAACAAATACACAATATTATACACAGGTCCAACTATTACATCATATAATACAAACAAATACACAATATTATACACAGGTCCAATTATTACATCATGTAATACAAACAAATACACAATATTATACACAGGTCCAACTATATTACATCATCTTATCTAATACAAACCAAAACACAGTAATATACGAAGCATATAAGCTGTTATTTTCGTGTCATCATGAACTGCCAATGTTTGCGATATCATCTCGGTGGAAGCGGACATAAAATAAAGCTATTTCACACATGCCCTCTTATCTACAGAATTAAGGGCCATGGCTAAAGAAGTCCTGACAATCTTGACTAGAAGTAATTGTCTCCCCTGTTTTGAAGTAATGTTTACACAAAGCGATCGGTGGAAGGTTGTAATGAAATGAAATAAAATTGGGGTTTAAGGTCCTACTTTTCTGCACCGACTGGGCCGCTGAAGACGGGTGGAAGGTTGTATGAAAGAATATTGAAATTATCTAAAACAACTTACTCATCACCATCTAAATCTGTGACTGCCAAGGCATACCCAAAAAAAGATCCAACCTATATTGAAAAACAAATAAAACATGAAATAAATCATAAAACACTCAATATATCAAACCAGAGGAAATGTCGTTTATTTTGATCAATGGAGATCTACCTTGTAAAATTCAGTTACCAGAAGGAAGAATAGATACGAGGGATGACAATATACACCGCCCACATTAAAATAAAACTACTATCAGTAAACAAGCCGACTAGCACTTGTCACAGCAATTAAGCTTTTCTAAAAAGACCACATATAAACAGATAGTACTGTAGAGAAATTAAAGTAAAGATTACCTGCTCGCCAGTGATGTTTGCGATGTTCGTAAAATTTTGTGTAAACATGGCCACCTGAAATAAGGAAGATGTAATTTTATTTTTTTCTTATTGCAAACATTCATACAAATGTATTATTCTAATTGGGTGGGGGCGGAGGTGGTTGGGTTGTCTAGTGGTTTAATACGTGCACCTTTGATCACAAGATCTGTCATTGAGGCAAGTGGGGTGGATTCGATTCTCCTCTTGTACGTGACAAGGAGTAGGGTCACCTGTCCAACCTTGTGGAGTTTTCTCTGGGTCCTCCAGTTTCCTCCCACTGCTAAAAACCCCTATGCGCTAGCGAAGTATTGAAATAAAATAGAACCATACAGTGTATGTTAGTCCTGAATGCTTAAAGTCAGACTGATCTGTTAATTCCCCCCCCTCCCCACCAAATCTATAGATCAGATAAGATTTTATTGTATTCTTACATTCATTTAAAGAAAATATTGCCAATCAAAAAATCAAACTTACTTTTCCGAGATGCTGTTCTGCTTTAGGAATACCAACAATAAAATCTGAAATAAAAAATAAGGTATTTAGGCCTATCATATTTACCATTTATTATATTAGCCTTACATCAACAAGGCTATGTTAATGATATTTCAACCAATATTAAATGTTTTCTATACATTTTTTAACTACTGTTTTTATGATGGAAATCATATTGAAACTTGTGCAAGTTTTCTGAGAATTTTCAAGGAGTATTTTCATGACGGAAGCTTTATAGAAGTTGTGTAAATATCTATCACCATTTCCTTATCGATATCAGTTGTTAGAATTTGTAATACCTACCATCAATATCATCGCCATCAAAATCACCAACACTGCTCGAATAACCTGTAAAGGAAACAGAATTTAATCTCAGCAATGCAATCTAAAATATAAAGACAGGTTGCCAGGCAACAAATAATATACGCCCACAACAACTAAGTTGTCCGAGCAGTCCACAGGGAAGCGTTGTTGCATATTTATTGTTTAGCAGATAATGGAAGCATTCTGTAGGGGCTGTGCTCACCTTTGCACCCCTTTCATATTATTTTAAGTAATTTAAAAATTCTACCCCCTCCCCCAACTTCATAAGTTTCCTGCCAAAATAAGCCTCCATTTTGAATTTGGCCCCCTAGCGGAATTAGCCATCAAATTTAGGAGGAATACCCAAGCTCATTTGATTCACCCGTTCAAATTATTATAAAACCCATCTGCAAGCCAAGGTCTGAGAGAATCTGTCATATATTTTACCCCACTAAATAACCAGAAAATGCCTCATGGCGGCCACCTTGAATATTTAAATTTCCCCACGGGTGGCAGGGTGGCATCATCTGGATTATGAATCTACACATACTGAAGATATATAATCCATCAAAATACATTAGGTGAACTATATTTCCACATTAAGGCTTAAAATGGGGTTTGGCATATGGACTATTAATACAGATTGGATGATAGCTTTGTTGTTAAAGTGTTTACAAAGTTCCATAAAGTAAAACAAGGTCCATAACTCTAGAAGTAATTAACAGAAATTGTTGAAATTCAATAGCCATCGCACTTGCAAAATAACATAGATAAATTTGTAAAAGATTGGATAATAAATAAATAATAAATTAACAGAAATTGTTGAAATTCAATAGCCATCGCACTAGCAAAATAACATAGATAAATTTGTAAAAGATTGGATAATAAATGTAGTCTGTAGAGTGCTCACAAGAAATTGTGAACAATGGACGGACGGTACTACTGGTGTCACTTTATTCAGTTTATTATAATTTGGATCTCATCTAAGTTTATGTTATTCAAAATGTTTTGGATACCTCTCTATTTTTATTTGGATTCAAATTTCATTGTGTTCATATGTCATCATCAGGCAAGAAAGAGAAACATTTGAAAGACTGTAAAGTAGAATGGTGAAATGGATGACACCACATGTTATTGAACGATCATGGAACAAGGATTTCATTCCACTCACATCAGATCACATGTTACATTAAACCAGAAATTGATTTTTCTGTGAAAATGGAGAAATTATAAAAAAAAATTTTTTGCTGATCATTTTGATTATAACCTGTTAACAATTGTCAAACATGAAAAAAAAATCCTCAATCCTTTTAAATTGATGAAAGTCATTGATTTTTCTGTAAAAAATCTGGTGGTGTATCGAATGATTAGACACAGATAGAAAAATAAATGGTTTTAAATACAGCGTGTTGACTGTGATTGGTTGATTGAGTGCGAGCCTTTATTTCTCACAGTCGAATATCTACTTTGATAAAAGATAATAATGATAATAATAATAATTGGGTTCTTATATAGTGCTAAGTGGGGTTGGATGGCCGAATGGTTAGTGTGTGCGAGCTGTATCATAAGGCCTGTCACTGAGTCAACTGTTGTGGTTTTTATTCCCCAGTTGTACGTGACAAGGAGTAGGATCACCTGTTCAACCTCGTGGGTTTTCTCCAGGTCCTTCGGTTTCCTCCCACTGCTAAAGACCCCTACGTGCAGGCAAATTATTGAAATAAAATTTAACCTTATGTTAGTCCTGAAATGACCTAGTTTGTGCCGAGTGAACGTTAAACCCCATTCCTCTCTCTCTATATATATATATAACGCTAAACTCCAAACCATAAAGTCTGCTCAAAGTACAAAAAAAGTTATTTCTAAGTTAAGTTAAAACAGCAATGTCTTCAATTTAGATTTAAATATTGAAAATGTTGGAGCAAATTTTAAAGCTAATGGCAGGGCATTCCACTTGAAACCCTTTGAAACTTCAAATGATTATTATTTAAAACTAAATTTTGTCAGTTTCCACGATGATATTGTAATATAATGTTGAGATTGGGATCGCAGGGGTCGTATTGACTGGTAAGGATTTACAAGTTCCTTTAAGGAGTATTGCATGAAGGCACTGAATGGTGGCCATATTCATAAATTAATCAGTGAAAGACCATCTCTTGAATATGATACACGTAACATTGAATCGGTTTTCAACATTTGACAGTTTGGATCTATGTAATACAAACTGTTATCCTGCTATGACATGTTCCAGACATCTTTATAATCTTTACATCAGATTAAATTATAACCCTATGTATATTACATGTACATATTATAAATATTACTTGTAGATGTGGACGTCTCGATCAATGTGTACGCTTTAGATCATAAGGTCTGTCAGTGAGTCAAGCGGAATGGTTTCAATCCCAAAAAATATTCACATATTATTTACATCCTTTGATTATATTTTCGATACATTCCAAGAGTTCAATAATCAGCTTCAAAATAATATTACCCTTACAGGAATACAAATTTTATATAATATATATGATTAGAAAGCATTTCTTTAAATCTGTACGAGTTGTACGATTGTTCCTGCCACGTCTTGTTAACTTTCTATCTTATGATATCTGAACTTGTCTTGACTTTTGCCAGCTATCTCGGCAATCTTTACGAGGGAATTTATTGATCGTGTACGCAGGTTTATACGAATGTTACATGTGTAAATATTAACGGGATTAATTATAACGGGTGATATCTGTTGGTTTAATAAAACTTGACATTAATTACAATATGATTAGTTTTAAGAGATCATTTAGCTGTTTTCCTTTCGTTTCAAGATGTTGCAAACTATTTCTGTGGAGATTTCTTCTATTAAAAGGGACAGTGACGAATAGAAACTATCGGTACAGATAATTCTATATTAAACGAGGCAGTGACCAATAGAAACTATCAGTATCAATAATTTTATATTAAGCGAGGCAGTGACCAATTGAAACTGTTAATATTTTTATTAAAACAGGCAGTGACCAATTGAAACAATTGCTATTTTTATTAAAAGGGACAGTGAGTAAATAAAACTGTTGATAATTATTTATTTTTATATTAAAAGGGAAAGTAACTAATTCAAACTGACAATTATTATTCAGTGGGGATTTTTATATGGAAGGCTGAAATGAATTAAATCTGAAAATAATTTTGCAAATGTAAGAAAACTGATCTGAAGCTGATGTCATAAATATTGTACCTGTATATCAAATACAGCCTCAATGTGTCAATAATCATTTTGGCAAGAATTCAGTTATTATGGAATATTGTAACAATTACTGTATCACTTTTGATTATTATATGTATTTCACTATATTCATGGTATAAATGTTTTCTGTTTAGATATTCAAATCTTATCTTTTACAGACAAATTATAATCTCCATGTATTCTGAGACAGATAGAACCTTTTATTAATACATATTAAATAACACAACACAATTTATATGGAAAAGAATCACTTATAGCACGATGTTCCAACAAGTGTCTTATTTCATTATCAATATATGTGTATAAACCAGTGATTGTGTTGTGTATTTTAATGCCACTCAACGACTCTGTGTATACACGTTGACTATTAGCCTGATCAAATAAATAATAATGTATATGTAGTTAGAGATTTTTGCAATAAATAATCCCGATGTCGGCTTTAGATTTTTCAGACCCAATTCTCAATTGTTAGGGTTGTCGCCTTGATACCTGGATGGGACTTAAGTTAGCACCTAGTTCCTACCTGCATGTAAACATTGACCTGCACGTAACAGAATACTTGACATTGGATTTCTAAAGAAAGTAGGCAGGAACACCTTTGTCTAGGTAAAATTCTCTGTGTGCATTAAACATAGACATGTTAGTCTTAAATGTACAAAGTATTGTGTTGATTCACCCCCTCAATACATAACCATAGATATAAATCAAATCGAAGTAGTATCTATTTTCAGAAAAAAAAACAATACAGAAACAATCAAATCAAGGTTTCATTGAGACTAAAAAAAACATATTTCTTGTTTTCTGATAAGTTTGGTCGTTCTGTTTTTGCAAACTGCAGTCATTTTGGACAACAAATAAGCTGGGCATTTACAATCGGTAAAAAAAATATCAAAATAGGGGCCTGCGATATATTTTATTTAGTCAGAGCTTGTCACATATAGCTTTAACGAACCATGTAAACTCAAGTAGAACAATCGCGATTATTTGATTTATAAATATTATTTGTTTCTCGTAATAATCAATAGACCAATGAGATTTAGTCGACTTGCAGCCGTTAATCAAACATATCGAAAGACCACTAATGAAAATATGGTTTTTAGTTTCTGTCTCAGGGGAGAAATCGTCTCTGAAAGAAGCAACATAAGATCAACCACATTCAAACAATAACTAAATATTATTTTCTACAGAATTTTGAGAAAAACATTTTTGATACAAATAAGAAAATGTATTGAATTAAAAAACTTGGTCTGAATAAAACAAATTATTTGCATTTTTAATCAACTTTTATACTTTAAATAAATCATTGTTTTAAGTAGACAATGCAGGAAGACTGCACAGCTAAAAACAGACAGAGCAGACTAGGTCATTTTAGGACTAACACATGTTTCAATTTAATTTCAATAATTTGCTTGCACATAACACACTGACCTTAAGGTCTAAAGTGCATGCAACCAACCAACCCCCTGACATATTAACAAAAGGATATATTGAGATTTCATCAGGCAAGTAGATCATATATCACAAAGAGGTTCCGTCACTCAATAAAAAAAGATCTTCTACAATAAGGGCAATATGGAGGAGCAAGTGCTTTATTTTCCTCAGCTGTTCACAATCAACTATTGATTTTAATTTCGTTTATTTAATCTAAAATCATGATCTATAATCCACTACCCATTAATCTAATCCTTTCTAATGATGTTAGAATTTCATAGATAAACAACCCTTGAAAGAGAACAAAGCTCCCCTATTCATTTTCTAAAACCCCTTTCTTTTGAAATGATGCGCTAAAAGTTCATATATTTTATTTAATATTTCTTAACAAAATGAAAATGAATATGTTTTTTTTTTTATTTTTACTCAAACTCCTTTGTCTTCGAGTTCAACTCCCTATGAGCCTTAAAACAATAAACCAGCCATGAACATACCAAATAATGGTTTCACATCTGTTGCTTTGATCCAGAAATTTTTATTTTTGACTCAAATATTTCAATGGGTTTATTAATAGCTGTTACCACACTGTGAATCAGACCTCGTAAAAAATCTATTATTATTCAAATTTGCCCCTTTTTTAAAAAGTTCATCCTTTATAAAATATTGATTTGACAAGGTAGTTTGTCTGACACCTTGTCTTATTGTTGTTCATCATGTCTATGAAATATGAGATCATATAGAATTCGTTCCACAATATTTTTAAAGGAATTATTTGATTATATCATATATTTCAGGATATTATATAAGTTATGGGCATTTAGTAGCCGTTTGATTAAATTCATTTTCTAAATAAATATGAATTAATTTTTTCAACATTACTTTTGGCCTGTGTAGATTAAGGGCTTACTGTGACTTACTTTTACAATCTTAAAACTTATCAATCTCTAAGAAACTCATCATGTTGACTGTGTGCAATTCTATGAGATATATTTTGTCCAGGCAGCACCTTTATATCATCCAATGCAAACTGTAAAAGCTTCTTTGATGTCTATATATACTGATGTGCACAAAGATTGATATCAGTTATTGTCCCATCCGAATCACTAGACAACTCTACTCCTGACAAGGGAGGAACCAGGCAGCTACTCCTAAGGTTCTTATCAGCCCACCTTGGGACTCGAACACAGTATATTATAATGATATGTCCTATGCAGCACCATTGCATGCTTAGTACCAGTATTCGCTTGTTAACATTAACACTTTATAATTTCATCTACATAGTACCTCAAAATGATTTCTTAATATGTCCTCAATATCCCTGATCAATGATTAAGATAAATCAATATGGGAGAGAGAGAGAGAGTGAGAGAGAGAGAGAGAGAGAGAGAGAGATGGAGGTTAACATCCACTTGACAAAGACTAGGTCATTTCAGGACTAACATAGGGTTCAATTTTATAGGCGTGCACATGGTTAGTGTTATGAATGAGAGAGAAAGAGAGAGAGAGAGGGTTTAACATCCACTCGACACAGACTAGGTCATTTTGTGACTAAAATATTTTAATATTTCACTTGCGCACAGGGATCTTTAGCTGTGGGAGGGAAACAGAGGACCTAGAGTAAACCACGAGATTGAGCAGGAGGCCCTACTACTTGTCACGTACACACTTGTGATTAACACCATCCCACCTGACTCAATGACAGACCTTAGGACCTTAAGGGAAAGGGTTCGACCACTCCGATCCATGCCAGAGGAGGGTTCGCTTTATTCCGAGGTTTGTAAAAGAATATATTTATGTTGTGTTTTATATTGATTGTGTTTTTCTACGATAGCGTGGAAGAACTATCAATCTATCTTGCCAGTATGTTCTTATTGATCAAATCTCACAAGCTGCCCTAAACTTTTAATCTACCAGACCAAACCCCGAGTTCACAAAGCATTCTCAGACTTAAGTTAAAAATTTACTCAATTTTCAATCAATGTTTATGAGAAATATCTTTGATCCAGAAACACAAAACTGTGCACATCATATCTTATTGATGTATTTGATACATTAAAACAACAAAAGTTTTATAAAGGGCTATATTTTAGTTAAAATAAGGCAAACAAGGGGGAGGGGAGGTTAAATTGTAAATATTTAGTTATTTTGGTTTTACACACCGGTACTTTAGTTTCAACAAAGGGACAAATAAAATAGAAAGCTAAGTGACCGAATTCAGCAAGGAAAGAGTTTGGCTATTTTCATTGGGTCAGGGGGTGGTACCTCCTTATTTTAAACACAGCCAGATCAACCAGAACACTAGTGAACCAACCCAATGCCCCCAACTTTGATCTGCCATTACCTAGACAGTATGAGAACTCCTATTAAATCAAGTAGCTGAATGGTTGCTAGTCCATTTAAATCTCACACATCTGCTACTTTATTTTATCACAACCAGGTTCAACCGGGGTCAGAGGTCAAAATACCATCTTAATTTTATCAAATCCACCTCTTTTATAGTTTTATAGTAAACTAACTTCTTCCTCCCCTAGTCTGAAGATCAAGAACAGACTGACAGGAATCTAATTCTGGTCGTTTATTAACTGAATTTTGATACATGATGTTTTGCTAGAAATAGAGAGAAAGAAGGAGATGGGGTGGGGAGGGAGAGGAGAGTGGAGAGAGAGAGAGAGAGAGAGAGAGAGAGAGAGAGAGAGAGAGAGCAACAGGGTTTAACATCCACTCAAAACAAACTATGTCATTTCAGGACTAACATATGGTACAATATCATTTCAAATTTTCACTCAATGACAGACCTTTCGATCTAAAGCATGTTAGATCATTCAGCCACTCAACCCCCTCCATGCTGATTTTATAGTTTCTTACAGGAAATTTGTATTTGTTTAGGATTTCTGTCTGTTCATTCAATCTAAATACGCAAAATTTTATCTGGATTCTCAGAAATTATTTTCATGAAAATTCCAAGCCAGGTTGAATGATATGCAGTCAAAGGGCCGATACTCACACGTTAGGGGTGTTACCTTGTTAACCAGATGGAGAGCAAGAGAAATGGGGTTTAACGTCCACCCGATACAAACTAGGTAATTTCGGGACTAACATGGTTTTAATTATATTTCAATAATTCGCTTGCGTGTAGGGGTCTTTAGCAGTACAGGCAACCCTACTCCTTGTCACATACAACCGGGGATTCGAAACCACCCCAGTTGACGCAATGACAGGCCTTATGATACAGCACGTGCACATGCTAACTATTTAGCCATCTAACCCCCCTAACCAGATGGAACTAAACACCTAGTGCCTACCATGTAAACATTGACCTACAGGTAACAGAATAATAGATATTGGAATTTTCCGCAACCCAAATATTAAGAATTTTATGTTGTAGTACTGACATACTGTATTTTCATAAGGCCATGGTGGGCCTACCGGTATTTACTTTTGTCATAACGCCAATATTAGTTATTTTAGGTTATAGGTAGGCCTCCTTACTTTTGTCATAAGTCCAATATTAGGTATTTTAGGTTATAGGTAGGCCTCCTTACTTTTGTCATAAGGCCAATATTAGGTATTTTAGGTTATAGGTAGGAGGCCAATATTAGGTATTTTAGGTTATAGGTAGGTTACATAAGGCTAATATTCAGAATTCTACTTAAATGGAGTATGCAACTAATTATCAGAACATTTTAAAATTGTACTTTAATGATGACATAGCTTTATCTAATAGGTTTATCCAACCTCTATGACACATACAAGGGAGTGTTACCAAACCAATCCCCACCAAATCCTACTTCCTGAAGTAACGGCTGTGAAATCTCTCTGCAGTTGGATTAGTTCTAATCAAACAAGACAATGCAAGGTGTATGCCCATATCCTTCTTTAATAAATGTTAATTATTCCGTATGTGGACATCAGCGAGTTGTACTGTAATATCTTGAGTGGGAATCACACAACTTAATTTACTGTAATTTCTGTTCAGGTACAATATTTAAAAGAAAACCACATGGTTTTTTTTTCTATAGCAAATGGCATAAATTAATATTAATGTAGGTGTGTAATGTACTTGTAACATGCAACTCACCCATATAACTGTCATCATCAGTTGCTGGACCTTCATTGGTTTTCACCACATTATCTGGTTCATCTATCTTATAATTATATAACTGACCTAAAAACACAGAGAGTAAACCCCAATAAATAAACAACTAACATTATAGTCAATTAGAACTAATTGAAATTTGTAGGGTTTTTTTTTATCAATTTTGCATCATAAATCAGTAAACCAAAAATGAAATGGGGTTTAACATCCTACTGTTCTGCTCCGACTAGGATAATGATACAGGCATACACCATACAGTGTTCATTTAGGGAAATTTTGATCAGACAGCTGCACTATGGCCTACTGAATTCCAACTGTTAAGGGTCTTTTACGAGCATGCCAATTTCTACATGGAACCTTGGTTTCCATCCCATCCGGAAGACTATACCTTTAACCTTGCCAGGTCCACCGTCCTACACAATTGACAAGGGGGAACCACGCTGGAAATTCTCTATAAACTTTTCCACCAACACCAGGATCAAACATGGGAACTCCTGGTTAGCGAGCCAACATCTTACTCCCTGAACCACTGGAGCTCCCAAATGAGTACTGGGTTTAGTTCACATCGTTTAATATGGTGGCTCTATACGCTTGGTGCTAAAGCAATAACCTGTGTTAGAGGAGATAGACAAGATATAAATCCGTATGGGATTTCAAATCTTTTAAATATGGTGGCACGTTGAGAATGGCATTGATTCACTGACCACGATGTCCTGGGCTCAATCCTGGTGCTGGACGATAAAGTATAGTATAGTTTCCCCTGGGCCTTGTCTGAGATGTAAGATGGAGGGTCTGGCAATGTCAAGCAATTCTAGTCAGTTGGGACGAAAAAATCTGTGACAGTTGGAAACCAAAATAAGAGAAGGTTGCAGCACTACTGTCCAGGTGTTTTAGTAGCGCCACTGCTGTCTGAGTGTTCTAGTAATAGCACTAGTCTGGGTGTTCTAGTAGCACCAATGTTTGGGTATTCTAGTAGAAGCACTACTGTCCGGGTGTTCTAGTAGCCTAATTCTACCATATTATTTCACATTTTATCAACATCTGTATAACAAGATGTAATATTAGATAGAATCTATTTTTAGCTGGTTATGGAGGTTTTTTCTCTGATCATGGTACCTATATATAGTTCTATACCACACCACATGTTGATAATACAAGTATCTATTAATAGACCGCTTTCATCATGAAGTAGATATATCATATGACCTCACATAATACAAAGGTCAAAGTAACCACACAGCCTTCTCTTTTGGTTTTCATGACTTATATAGAACACAGAAGTAGGCTATAATCTTCTTAGTAGAACTGTGGTCTGAGGCCATCGGAAATAACCATTTGTATGTCATTCAACTGGTTCAAACTGACTGATTATATATAGCTAACTTAAATCTAAATGTCGGGCAAATAATTAAATCAGTTAAAAAATCTCAGATCACTACCCGTCTTCGAGGTGTTTTTTTTCTGAACTGACTGATCCTCCTTTTTGGTTAAATAGGTTGAGTCTTCGAATAGGCTTTTTTCTAAACTGGTTCGGCCACTTGTTGTCTTAATTGGTCGGTTTAATATTGTCAGTTTAAACATGAACATTACACGGTCAATTGTGGAGATTTGTAATTTCAAGTACAGTAGGATATAGATACGTGTGTAATTAACTATAAGGATTGTAAAAATATTTTAATATTCAATTACCTACCCTGTCAAAAAATAGATGAAATAAAAAGGGGTTTAACAATCTTACTTACTGAACCACTGTGGCTCCTCCAGTAAATACAAATATTTAATACCTACCCTGCCAGTAATAACTCCCAACAGCAGTAATCATCAGTTTTTCTCCATTCTAAAAAAATCAGTTTAAAAGACCATTAATTTGTTCATAAAATAAAATATACATGTATACAAAAATAAAAATCAAATTCATGCAATTCTTGTAAACAACCCCTTAACTATCCATTCTACTGTTTTACCTACTCATTCTTAACTTGGATTTATTAATTTATTACGACTATCTTTATAGGAAAAATATAGAGATGAAACCAGTCATTTGCTGCAAGAAATTCAGGGAAAAATTTTAAGTCCTACCAATTTCACTGTTGAACTTAATTTTTGTATATAAAAACTTAAAAGTAGTCCAGGCCATTTCCAAAAGGTATTCATTTTATTTTTTCAACTAATTTGAACAACATCATGTGGTTCCTTTAATATAGAACTGAGTATTTGGTTAATCAAATGGCTTTCAGTGGACCTTTTACAAGTGTTGATTAAAATAATTAGGTCGTATAATAATTACATTGTACTAGTAACATAATAGTTTATTAAGTCTTGTTCAACTAATCCGCTCGAATAAACATTTGTTAACCAGGCTGTTTAAAACAGATCTGTCATTTTGTTATTTAGAGAGAGGTGTGGGGTGGAAGCAACTGGGGGCACCTCGGTAAATTAAGGTTGTAATTTTCTATGGTGGTTGTGCATTCAAATATTTGGGTGGGTGTGTCATGTACAGGAGGGTAGGGTATGCTTATCCTTCTCCCAACACTTGGTACCACTTTATCAACAGGATTTAAAAAACAACTCCTGGGATTTTGTTGCCTTGACTACACATATCCTAATTCTCTATTTCATTTCTTTATCTATTCCTCCATTTCTTTGTCTAAACTCCAAGTTCATTCAAGTATTAGTTCTAGACATGGAGCCGTCTGGTTGAACAAGACAATGTCTTATTATACAATAATTTTGGTCGGCCATTAATCATTACTTAATCAAAAACATAATTTTCATCACCACATGTGTCTGTGATGTTATAAATTATGACCATGATAATAATCAAATATATTTATGACTTGGTATAAAACAGACCAAACTCCAGTTTTATTTTTAGTCAAGATTTCATTATTTTATCTCTCTCAGTTTCTATTACATCTCTTACAAACAAAATTTTCTATATAAAATATAACAGGCACAATTTTCTTCTCTTATAATCAAGTTATTGTGCTTATATTTTTGTTGTTATTAAAAAGTAATTTTCAATATAAAATATTGGTATTGTTTTGCTTTGATTCAGTACTTTCATCTCTATAATGAAATTTTACAGTTTTAAATTTTTGTGGTTATTAAAAAAGTATTTTCCAAATTGGATAGAATATGGTATATATTATATGTTTTATACAATAATTTCACATCTCTCACCCTGTCCTATAAAAATAAATTATAATACCCATTTGGATTACATGAAACTTCTAATACCATTGAAAGTACTACTTTTAAACTACTCATATACAACATTCATTTGTATATATTATACAGTCTTTATCAATTCACCAACTTATGCCAGGAATATTAAATAATTTATATCTAAAAGCTTTATATTTCATATTCATATACTAGCTGATATATTTTACCAGTTATACTTGGGAAGTTAGCTGTTTGGAAATATGATATATATCAAGGGCATGGTCCTGGGATAGTTGGAAAAGCTCTCTACTGGATTAAGCATTATAAATTGCAATCCATATAAGGAGGGAAATAGATTTATATTTTTAATTATATATTCAATCATTCCAGATATGAATGTGTTTATTTTTTTATTCAAACTATTTATTAATATGCAGCTTTCTATATAAATAATTGCATTGAAACAACTTATTCATCATGGACACAGGATATTTCGGAGAGCAAACTTTTTAGTTTTGTATTAATATGACGTAAATATATCGACAACATCACTAAGTGAAGCTGCAACAATTTTTAATTGCAAAATAAATCTACTGAAAACAAGGCTAACTAATGATTTCTTAACAAACAAAATAAATGGTTTCTTTTATAAATAAATATAACTCATAAAATCAAAGAAATAAATGTTTTCTAGTCTTAAATCAATTCAATTTTACAAAAAATAAATCAACAAAATATAACTCATAAAATAAAAAATAAAAACAAAATGTGCAGAAAATCACAAACTCTGTGGTGATAAAATATTTGTATAATCATAATTGGTGAATCATTTTAATAAGTGCAGAGATCACACCACACAGTGATTATCAGTTGGTTGTCAAAATCTCTAAATTTCATAAATAAAAACTATGATAATTAAAAACTACCAGTAATCCATCAACCTATCAAAATCCCTGTTCTATTTTCTACCACCATAAAACCTATTAGTATTCTCCTTGCCTGCAGGTTGCAATGCCTTAACACAAGTTAGAACGGGCAAATTTTCAGTTTCAAAATCCATTTGGCTTAACTATAATGACCCCTAAGTCTTTTCAGAACTTGATTGAGAAAACACTGAGGCATTTAAGGAATTGTTTTTCTTTACTTTTCAAACAGACATTAACCAAATCGTATCATATACCATAGCTCTTCACAAATAATAGTCTGTACAGAAATTGCATCAAAGTGTCTTTCTGATAATTTACAAATAATAATAATAAATTCTCCAAATTCTTCACTAATTTATATTCCTTCACATGGTGCAGTCTATGAATCTTTTTTCCAAACAACAAACTGGATTCAAATACCCCAAATTACCCTAACCCTAGCCAATAAATACTCCATTATCATACGTTCTTCAGGATATTATTGAACAAGTCTCATCAAAACAGATAAATATGAACTGTTTGATAATTAAACATTTTTTTCATCAAAGCCCCTAAAATACATCACACATCTTTCTAAACAATGTATCGTTGTTATCCTCACATTTTCTCAATAACATAAAAGTTATCTGGTAAATATCTATGTGCTTACCATGCAACTATAAATCATCACCTGCTCTATATTCCATACATACATTCATTCTACTTGAAAAAGTTTTTTTCTGAAACATTGCATACTCGCTTCCCTACCAATAAATGAAAGATGTATTGACTTCTATTAAAGCCGCTTATCGTCAATTGCATTTTTTGGACAATATGTAACCCGTTAAGCGTGACGTTTTTAAAACGTTAACTACTCCCTATTCTGTAATTAATTTGACGAAGTGATGAAGAACTATGTACTATGTTCTAAGAATAGGTTGGGGAAAATACCTCCAAGGCGTTATATTACACCCCACACACAGTGAATGGCAGTTGTCCAGGACGTAATATAACGTCCTACACATGCAATCGTGGGGGAATTCCCCCAAGTGACGAACTATGTTCTAAGAATAAGTTGGGGAAAATACCTCCAAGGCGTTATATTACGCCCTACACACAGTGAGTGGCAGTTGTCCAGGACGTTATATAACGACCTATGCACTTAACGGGCTAATTTCCGTTGGCTTAATCCATGCTAATATCTACTCAGATTCATTATTTAACATTTTGATTAAGAAAACAAAAACCAAAACATCAACAGTAGATAATCTCCCTGGCTTGGATTAAATTAGACCCATCAAAAGATTTGATTGAACAGTTTTCTGTGGCTCTGAGTGGATGCCAAAGGTTGTATAGTTTTCAATTCATCATATCTTTGTAATTACGGAATGGAATTGATCTATTTTCAGCTTGATATGTTTCTTAGATATTCAAATTTCAGAAAAGTGTAGTTTGCCAAGGTTTTCAAAATCTTTCAAATGATGACCAGCAGTTTAATGACTTTTTTGGACATTTTCGTTTATAGTATAGATCGGAGAAGGCAAGGTTTCTGAAAAATGTTTTCTACAGTATACAACACTGAATTTCTATTTGCTACATGACTACATATATATATATATATACATATACAAACTACACATATCACACTGGCTGGAACAGGCAATGTGGGAGTAAGCAATCAAAAAAAGCACAGCAAAAGCACAGCAAAAGCACAGCAGCAGCACAGCACCTGTTGGGGTATTGTAACTCACTTGCGTAAGAGAGGCGGCAAAACCTGCTTGACAAAAACCTTGTCTATGATAACCCCAGGCCGCTGTAAGGTCAAGGTCAATATTGATGAAAATAAACATACAAAACAAACGAAATAAACAAAAAAATTCAAATGTTACATGTCCATTATTCATATGAGATTGGTTATTTGAGTTGCATTACCAATAAGTCCATAGAACAGGTTAATATTCCATTCCTCGCCAATGTGTAACTATCTTTTTTGGAAAAGTATTAATAGATAAACTTTCATGTTTGAGTTTTCTTTTGCTTTGAATATGAAAAATGTTAATTTTCTGGACATGTAACATCCTTGGATCTAATACACAGAAATGAATCTTAAACATAAAGATTTGTGATATTCAACGCAAGCTTTTAACTACATTATATGCTGTGAAACCTCTTCATAAAGAGAAAAAAAGTTGTAAAATTCTTAGATGGAAAGTTCACAGGTTGAATTAAAAATAAAAGTGCACATGGCTTGCAGAATAAATTTCATTCAGACAGAGTGAGAGAGCGAGTGAGAGAGAGCGACTGAGAGAGCGACTGAGAGAGAAAGAGAGTTTATGTCCACTCAACACAAACAAGGTAATTTTGGGACTAATATGTCTATTTTAATAATTTAGCAATGGAAGAAAACCAATGGGATTAGGCTTGTGACCTGGTCAAAAGCTTAAGAGTAATACCATGTCATGTGACTTCATGACACAGATCTTATGATCTAAAGTACCATTAGGCCACGTCCCACATTATAACAGTATGTCGAATGTGACTGAGACGTGGATTGAACTAAGTTCCATGTGATGCTGTTCATGGGACATTCATTGAACCCAGTTACCTACTCATCATTTTGCAAATGTTTTACACAGCACAATTATTTGATAATTACAAACAGGACTTCAATATGAACAGATTTCACAGTATCATCAAATTAAGCTTTAATTTTGTTTTTGTTTTAAACAAAATCTACATCAATTCTAAAATCTAACATTTACAT